AACAAGTATCACCTTCACTCCTTTGCTTTCAGAAAACTTACAATGTCTTTCTGTATCATTAATTATTTCTCAGAGTATCCACATGGTAGTTAGGTCTAGGGGGCAACTGTGTCTGTTGATAAAATGGGATTACTTACATAATCATTAGGGCTTTGGCTTCATCAGAAAAAATTAAGTTTATTGATTTTCAACCCAATGAGTTCTTGATTTTGCTTTAAAAAGTACAGTCACCCCAGGGGAGGATAAAAGAAAAAAACAGGTGAGATTATGTTTTTCAGAAGTCAAAATTTGGCTTCTTTTCAGAGTATTTGTATAGGTTTTCACAGAATCCATAAAATCTTCCATCTGTCAATCCAGCTCTATTGATAGAATTATGAATGGATCATTTTAACTATGGTGTCTACATAGTTGCATTTAATCAATTTTGTTTCTTCCAGAAGTTGAAGTACTTCAAAGAACTCATGCTCAGACTCTGATACTAGTAAATAATACTAAGTAGCATTAATTGGGTGGTTACTTTATATCAGACACCTTGCTAAGTGCTTTACTTGCATTATTTTATTTTATCCTTACAATGAACCAACAAATTATTCCCAATTAACTTGCATTTTACATATGAAGAAACAGGCTTACAGAGGTTTAATTACTTGTAAACAAAAGGTTGTTTTTTTTCCAAATTAATTCACTAGTAATTATTTAGCTTTGGGGACTTTTTCCCATGGTATTTCAAATCCCTTTAGAACACTTTATAATTAGTCAGATCGACTTTGTGTTTGATGGTGGGTTGATCAGGCTATATCCTCTGATTTTTCTCATAGAAATACACAGACTGCCAGTCTGTGACACAGATGTGTATGTCTTTCCACTACCAGAGCCCAGGCCCGTTATTCGAGGTGGTCTCCCACTACTAAAACACAAAACATAATTAGGTAGAAGACAGTATAGTGGGTGATTCCTCAAAAAAATTAAGTATCAAATGATCCAGCAACTCTACTTCTAAGGATGTACTTGAAATAGTTTGAAAATAGGGACTGGGAACAGATACTATTACATCCATGTTCATAGCAGCATTATTTATGGTAGTCAAAAGGTAGAAACAACCTAATGTTCACTGATGAATGAAATAATAAAATGTGGTATATGCATACTGTGGAATATTATTCAGCCTGAAAAAGGAATGACATTTTGATATATGCTACAATATGTGAAGCTTGATAAGTGAAATAAGTCAGATATAAAAGGACAAAAATTATATGGCTCCATTTATGTAAGGTACCTAACATAGTCAAATTCGTAGAGGCAACAAGTTGAATGGTGGTTGCCAGGGGCTGGGGGGAAAAGGTAATTGGGGAGTTACTGTTTAATGGATACAAAATTTCCGTTTGGGAAGATTTAGAAGTTCTAGAGATGGATGGTGGTGATAGTTGCCCCCACAGGTGAATATACTCAATGCCACCAAACTGTACACTTAAAAATTGTTAAAATGATATTATGTACATTATACCAAAATAAAAAAGTAATTAGGACTGAGATTTGCACTAAAATATGAAAGCTAGACCCCGAACAATAGTATAATTTGAGATCTACTTTGTAAAAAATGACTCAACAGTAAATAAGCCTTATTCTGATCAGCAGTGCTTGTGAATCTTAAACTTGGTTTTCACTAAATAAAGGTCAGCATAAGTAACTAATAAAATGATTCTTTCAAGATCAGTATCAGATGGAACAACATGAAATACAAAGTGTCAGGATGAGTTCTAGCAAGAACAGTTTATCTCAAGGGACATCTGGTAACATCTTATTCCTTAATTACCTTCAAAGTGAACCAAAACTTTTTTTTTCCCCATGAGAAAGAAATCTTGAAATATTACTTGGGAACAGTAAGAATTTTCTCTCAAATCTGTATATTGGGAATAGAAAACACTTGGTAGGAAATTGTGAACACTGTTTCATCACATTGTGGGATTCTTTTCAGCAATATTTTCAAAATAATTAAATTGGTTCGTTTAAGTGCCCTAGATTCTGACCCAATTTAATTATTTATATAAAAATAGAGAGATGAAAAATGATATATAGGCATTAATGTTCTTGGATTAGTCAGTGCTTTTTGTTTCTTGGTTAGAAGTTTCACAATAATCAGAATTTTGCCTTGTGTTCAATCCAGAGCTATGAAAGGAGTCAAATCAACTTTGTAGGATTTCCTGGTTAAAAAATAAATAAATAAACGCCCAGGGTGTCATACTTTTCCTTCCCAAAATTCAATGATCTTGTAAACAAGTAAGTTAACATGGCAATTAAATATGCTCCCTTTTCATAATACACAAACGCATACTCATCAGAATGTGAAGATACAGGCAACTGGCCATTTCTGATTTTGTCACTATTTGGACTTTTTCCTGTGCTTGGACTACTCTGCCTGTGTTATTCCATGAGTGGCTTCCTCACATTTTTCAGGCTCCACCCCAGAGGTCACCTCTTCTGAAAGGCCAATCCTGGCCACACCCTATCAGAAGTGGTCTCCCCACCAGTAGTCACCCTGTCTGTCTGCATCAGATTGCTCAGAGCCATGGCCTTGGTGGCACTTTCACACTATCTGAAGTTGTCTGGTTTCTATATCTGTTAACTTGTTTACTGTTTGCTTTCTACCATTAGAACACGAGTTCCTCAAGGGCAGAGGAAGGGCCATCTTGTTTCTTCTTCTGTCCCTCAGCCTAGCAGAGTGACAGGCTCAGAGCAGGTGGTGCTCCCTTCCTACTTCTGCCTCACAGCGGTGTGTGTAAATGGACTCAGAGCCCCGCCCCCGGGAAGTGCAGGCACACTGCTGTGCCCAGCTCTTCTAAGGGTGCTGCTGTGGGCTCATCTCACTGGGCTGGGAGGCTGGACAGCAAAAAGTGGACACCTAGAGTGTTCAGAAAGACCCGCTTGCTTCTTAAGCCTAACTCCACCTCTGGCTTTCCCAGGTCGCTTAAAGGTACTTATGAAGTGGTAACTTATTTCCCATTTGCCATAATCCCTTGGGGCAGCTTACTCAGGCACTCCATGAGAACCAGGGTTGGCTGGATTAATGAAGATTTGGACATCTCTCTGTTTTCTCATCATCATGCTATTCGAAGACTGTAAAATGACACATGTCCCTAGCAAGTGACAAGCAAGAGGCTGGCCTCTCTTTCCTACTCTGTTCTCTGAGGACCAGCTTCATGGACAGCGTTAGTTCTGAATCCATAGGCAACAAAGTGAACCAAGCAAATGAAATCTAAGCCTTCTTGTCTTCCCATTATAGAGATGGAAAATTCAAGGAACATCACTGGTCTCTAGATCCTTGACTTTACAACTTGATAAAGCAAAAGCAAGGCAACAGATACAAGAGTGGGGAAAAGTTTTCTTAAGACCGTTTTCAAACTCTATAATTTCTATGCAATATTTTGTATAGGCAATAATGAGGCACCTTTAAATTGATAGTGAGTAGCTGGGAAAAAGGGATCTTGATTGATCAGATTTTTTTTTAAAGAGTCCAACCAAAGACTCAAAAACTAAGATCATAGCAGACTTCTATTTGCCCCCCCAACCACAGCAAATAGCTAATTCTCTCCTTCTTTTGTAAGAAAACAGAACTCCTTATTTAGAAGTTTCATGGCCACACAAGATAACTAAGTAAATTTCCCAGTCTCCTTTGTAACTTGATACTGCATGTGAATGAAGGTGACAAGCAACAGGCAGATCATGTGCTTAAAAGGAGGGGGCTCAGTCTCCCCTTTCTTCCCCCTCCCACTGGCTGGAATTTGGATGTGGTGGGGAGCCATCCAGAGGCGAGGGTGACAGCAGCACTCGAGGGATGGGAAGAGAAGGAAAGAAGCTCACTTGTCAGAGCCAGAGTCCCCAACCCTTCAGAGGCACATATCACCTGCATTACTTATACCGAAATTGTTACGTAAGAAAGGAAAACATGACCATCTTCCTAAAGCCTCTGTGATTTGTAGTTTCTGTTTCACCCAGCTTTCCTTTGATGTTTCAGATGGTGCTTTAAAATTTTTGCAAAGTGGCTTTAGGAGCTCACAATGATAAAACTTTTGAGTTGAACAAGACCTTCAAGGTTAGTACCCTATCCTCCCACTTTACTGATGAGGAAATTGAAGACAGAGTCCATCAGCTTTTTAAGCCTCACAGGTAGCTGGTAGTAGGGCTGGTGCCCAGATCTCCTGAATTTCAGCTTGTTGTTCTTCTCTCTTGTGGTCAATTAGCAGAACTCCCTGGAAATAACTCTAGGGGCTCCCTCTGGGGAGCCTGAACAACTTATTAGCTGGGAGGCAGGTTGTTTTACAAGATAGCCCATAAACAGCATATATATACAAGGCTGTTCACACTTCTGCTCTAGGAAGGAAGAGGGTCACGGGGAGGCCCATGCCCGGTTCTGTCAGGCCTCGTTCTGGGATGACAGGTGGGTCAGGAGGACCCAGGCCTGCACTTCTTTTCTTGCTGAGCCCGATCTGGAAAGTTTCCCTTTCCTCTGGTAAACCTGATTCCCTTTCCTGTGAACTTAGCGTTGTGGAATTTGTCTAGGACCCTGAAGCATGCCAGTCAGAAGCTCAGAAGGCACCAACTTGCATGACTCCACTCTATAATACTATGACTATCAATTACTGTTCACGTGCAAGTTGATAATACAAGAAAAATTTTTAGAACAACTAGCAGTAGGGGTAACTTCACCTGTCAAGAAAAGAGCACAAAGAACAAACAAATCACATAATTTCAAGGTCTTGTATCCACCAGGCATCCAACCACAGTTCCCTTTGGACAAAGGGCACTGGTACAGTTGTGATTATGAAAGCTGTCCAGGGTCCTGTTAAAGTGTAAGGTAAATCCAGCTCTTAGCATACAAGGTCCTCAGACCCCTGGAGTTCTACCTTTTTAAAGATCTTACTTTGCAATTTACTTACGAAGCTAGGAGCTTCTATTTGAATTCTGCAAATTTTACATTTATACACAATTATCACGTTTCTCACCATCCTCGTTTTCGTCAAACACCGGTGGTTTGCTTGAAGTGTTTGCTCCCATGGTCAAGTCTGCCCAGACCTCTTGGATCCTCCAGTTACATTTTCTAGGCAGAAACAGTCATCTTCACTCAAAAGAGGTCCAGAAACCTCAGCTGGATATCTAGGAGAGAAAAATAAATGGTATCCTTCTGATACACTGTATTCTACGTACCCTGATAACAGACGGTGGCCAAAAATTAACCTAATCTATACCACTGCAGTGGAATTCCTTTTTCTTGAAAACGGTAATTTCAGAAATAACAGAACATCAAGCATCTGGGAGAATGCACTGCATGGCCTCATCAGATGTGGACCTGGACTTACAAAGAAGGGGGAAAGCAAAATATCTTTCTAAGTATGAAGACAAGTTTAAAATGAGGTCAGCAATGCCTTATTTAACTATAAAATAAAAATAATATTTTATTGTGATGCTCCATATTTTTGAGATAATATGTAAATTTTAAACATCTTTTTAATGTGATATCAACAACTTAATTTTTTTCAATCATAAAAAGACATCTCTTCCCTCCTGCCCGGGAACAAGGTATGATGTTTGGGCTTCACCGCACCAGCAGGCTACTGAATTTCACAGAACACGTTTCTTTTTTTCCTTCCCCTGAACTCGAAGATCATAATGGTTGTTACCTCCAAGGCAATTAAATGTGATTTCATGAGACAAAATGTAAGATATTTTCACAGCATAAGTGCTCAGTAATTGTTGGCCACTCGGAAGCTCAAATTAAATGATGTATGTGAGAGCTAAAAAGCCCTGAAAATGTACATTGATGGCTTTGTCCATTTTTCAACATAATTATAAAGAACTTCACTTTCCCAGAAATTGATAAAGAGCAGTAGTATCCAGAGTTCTAGTTCTAAAACTGACAGTGATAATGGCTTTGGGCCAATTACTTCACCTCTTGTCTCTTAAATGGGAGAAACAACTCAGATGCCTGCAAGAGCCAGACAAAAATGCAAATCAGTGAGCTGGATCGGGGGAAGCCATTACTGCCTGGTGGGGACACTGGTGACCTGGTGGATCCAGCCTCCATCTAAAAGACATCACCGCCCTGGGATCTAAAAGATAGTTGGTAAGTGGAAACATGGTTCCAGGGGCTAGATCTTCAGATCTACCTCAAAAAGAGTAAAGATTCAGGTTTTATACAAAACAATGTTTCAAAATTCGTTTTAGCTATAAGGCTTGAGCAAGTCATATGCATGAGAGAAATACAACTCATGGCATATAGTTAATGAGACAGTCTGCATGAGGCAACTAGCACAATGCCTGGCACATAATTTGCAAAGAATTAGTATTAGTTACTGCTGTTTTTAATAGTGACAGCATTTCCTTAGTATGTATTGTTATTATTATTTTAATTTGACACCTGTTGATTTTCTCTTGGACTCTTTGCACATGAAAGAAATACAGATTAGAGTCAGAATTGAAAAAAGTTTCCAAGCAAATCTGGATTAAGGATGAGTTACTGAAAAGGAATTTGAGGAGCCCCTGAGCAAATCTAGAAGAAAACCTCCTCTTCCTATTAGGGAAAACGTAAGTGAAGCCTTCATTTGGGAGGCAGACTCATTAAGGAAATGCGACTTTTCCTACTGAAAGCCAACTGCTGGCAAAGTGCCTTCTGGACTTGCAGAAAAGAATCATTAAATGGAGAACAAAGACAGAGTCAGTAATTAGGAAGCAAGAGATTAAACGGTATGGGAGAAGGGAGGGAGCAGGGAGGGGCAGGTGGTAACAGGTGGCTGGAGGAAGCTGGAGGGGATGATGATGGAGATCATGACAGAAAGAACTCAGTTGTATCTCTGAGCTAAAAAACGAAGGGCTTTTAATTCCCACTCCTCAGGGGAGTGAGGAAGAAGCAGGTGGGATGCCATCAGTGTTCCATTGTGGGCCAGGGAGAAGCAAATGGAGGTGCCCTGTGTGTTTCCTTACTGCATTTAGAGTCCAGAATAAGCAGGGACTAGCGTAAGGGCTGAACCATGGATGACATTCGATAGACTTGGTCCTAAAGAGAACATCAATTTTAAGGAGCTGTCATTGTTAATACTGCATTCTCTAAATTTTGCGCCTAAAGCCTCAGTACATGTATTTTTCACACCACACCCCAATGCTGTCATTCTTACATTTTTCTTCACACTTCAGGCTTTTCTCAAGTAGCCCATCTTCCTGCAACACAAGATGTACCAAGCACTGACCTTGCAAATTGTCAAGTCAGAAAGAGAAAGAATATTATCACAATTTGCCATATTTCTGAGTTCCCTTCTGATGCAGATAGTTTTGTTCACCAAAGATCCAGTGATTTTTTTGGCGCAAAGAAAATGTGTAAACAGGGAACCACTTTTGTGTGTTTAGAGGAGGAGCAGGAGGAGTGGGCCATTGGGTGGTGGCTTTTCCAATGCACCTAATAAACCCAAAACAGTGTAGAATTGTCTTTTTTTTCCCCCTCCCCTTATGGGTAACTAAATGGTAACTCATATCCAGAAAGAAATCAACCTTTTTCTGGCAGCAAAATGGAGACAAACCTTTTCCATGCTACTGAATAGGGCCCAGAAGGGCTATAGGACCCCAGAGGGGCCATATCCTTTCCTGACCTCCTGATGTTAAGTCTGCAGTGCATCATTTTGAGATGTCAAGAGGACAGTCACCACCCATGGAAATGGACATCCTAAACAGAAAATAGAAGAGAAACAGCAGTGTGTCTTATAGGAACACAGGGCTTTTCAGATTCTGATCTGGCCACACACTGGATTATTCACTGCAGACAACAGTTGACCTTTGGCCTATACTTTTCGGGGCTATCAATACTTGAGATTATCCAGGCTGCTGAGGTGCCCTAGGTAAGGAGGTGTCTTCTGCAGGAACTGAAGAATCTATGCTGTGATGGAAGAAAGCTGTGACTTCTAACAGAGCTGTCTAGTTGTATTGCCACAGCATATGCACAGACATAACTTGTTTTGTTTGTATTTGAAAACTGTAACTACTCAAGCTGAGACAAATTTAGAAACTCAGGGGAAAAAAAAAACAAAGATCCTGAAAAGCACCCAAGTCAACACCCCTTGCAGTTAACTATTGTTTATATTTCTTCAGCTCTTGCTTCATCATTTTTATATACTAAAAACTGTGGGTAAATATAATTTCCACCTCAGTCCTCATGCCAAGTTAACTCCCCTTTCATACTTAACCTAAACAGCCACAATCATGAATCTGGTATACCTTTTACATTCCACTTTGGACAGTTTTACATATACAGCATGTGTTTTAAGATAAGCCACCTAAATGATACCATATTTTTCATCCTACTGTGAACATTTCTCATTATACTTCTGTGGTCTAGGCACGCTGATCTCTACTGCTTTTTAAGTGCTTTTTAAGTGCTGCATAGCAGTCCATTGTGTGAACCCATGGCAACTTTATTTGTGTAAACATGTTCAAATCCTTCAGCTTTGCTGGGGGGAAGGGAATCCTGGTGGAGATGAAGCCAACCATCAAAGGCAGCTGGGCTTGTTTAGAAGCTGGATAAGAGAAACAAGCAGAAACATCTCACGAGCTCATCTCCCCCCAGCAAATATTTGTTGAAGTCTGTCTGCGTCTGGAACTGAGTCAGAGGCTAGGGTGACAAAGTGAGGTACAAAATAGCGAAGAAGCTCGGAGTGGCCCAGCCCTATCAGGTCGTGGTGGGTTATCCTGATCGCTTGCCTTCGTCTTCTTTCTCTTCCCTTTTAACTTCCTAGCTTCCCAGCGGTGCCCTTAGAATGCACGGTTACTTAAAAGGAAGAGAATCTAGACCATCACTCACCTAGATCTTGGCGGTCCTTCCACGCCTTCCGAGAATGCTTCCACCCGGGGAGCAGGGGCTAACTGAGAAACTCCGAGAAAGGAGGAGTGAGCAGGGAAAGGCACCTACCTGGCAGGGCGCACTGCGATCGCGAGCGCGAGCGCTGGGCTGGGCTCGGCGGGGCGGGGGCGGGCGGGCACCTGCGGCTGCCGGTGGTTCCTAGTGCCGGCCAAGCGCGCGCAGCTACTCCGGGAGGGGCGGATCCCGGGCCGGGGCGGGGAGCAGGTCGCTTGCCGGCGTTCTCGGGCGCCCGGCTACGCACAATCGGCCAGGCAGCCGCCTGGGCTCCGCGCTCAGCCAGGGGAGGGCGAGGCCGGAGGACTGCTCTGCGAGCTGGCAGTGGGATCCCGCGACGCTTTGGCACGAGTCGGGGCCGCCAGGACGCAGTGCGCGCCCCAACTTCCCGGGCCGAGGTCTGGTTCCCCTTAAGTGACACCCTCCCCCCGCCCCCTCAAGATACCCAGGCGACACTGCTGCGGAGGATGGTGGCTTTGAAGGTGGCGGATACGAGCCTGCGGATCTTAGATGGGGAAAGGCGCGATTTTCTTTAAGACTTTCTGGGGGTGTTGCGGAGATCCAGTACAGGGCTGAGAATTTTATAGGTCCCTACATGAAGAATCATTTAACGGTTATGATTTTATAGATTCCCTCGTTTTACGGCTGGGGAAATTGAGACAGAGAAGAAGTATATCTACCCAGCATAACATCATTAATGAAGAGAACGGTTTCTTGACCCGGGTCTCCTGGCTCCCAGCCCCATCTTTAACATCAATCCCGCTGGAAGTTTCTTTGTTGTCTCCCACGGCAGCTCCCTTGTACTTCCCTTTGTAATAATACTCAATACGATTGAAATATTATGCTTTCCTTCTAACTTAAGAGTCACACACACCTAAGCATTCGGAGATTAGGTACATAGGCTGCTTACTGAAATGGTGAAGGTGTGTAATCTTGGGCAGTTGTGAGGCAGGGGAACTGAAGGGTGTAGGTCTAGTTTGGGAGTGGGGTAGGGACAGCTTCTACTCAACTCCAGCATTCTCCTGCGGCGTGGAAATGCCAGCTCCGCATTCCAAATATTCAGATTTTAAGAGAAGCTAGAAATGAGAACTCCTGCGTGAAATCTCCCATTATTTAGAAACACTGTCAAGTTTTTAAAATGTTAAAAAACTGTATTGATCCAACAAAATGCGTCTGTGGCAGACACGTCTTTTTCAGATTCCCACTTTTTTTTTAATTGAAGTATAGTCAGTTACAATACATCAATTTCTCGTGCGCAGCATAATGTCCCAGTCATGCGTGTATATACATATATTTGTTTTCATAAAGGGATATTACAAAATATTGAATATAGTTCCCTATGCTATTAAGAAGAAATTTTTTTGTTTTAATCTATTTATATATATATATAGTGGTTAACATTTGCAAATCTCAAACTTACAAATTTATCCTTTCCCATCCCCTTTCCCCTAATAACCATAAGACTGTTTATTGTGTATTCAAGTCTGCTTCTGTTTCGTAAGTGAGTTCATTAGTAGTGTTCTCTTTTTTTTTTTTTTTTTTTTTTTTAAGATTCCACATGTGAGTGATATATGGTATTTTTTCTTTCTCTTTCTGGCTTACTTCACATAGAATGACAATCTCCAGGTACATCCATGTTGCTGCAAATGGCATTATTTTATTCTTTTTTAAAATCCCTGAGTAGTATTCCATTGTATAAATATAAAACAACCTCTTTATCTAGTCATCCATCACGGGACATGTAGGTTGCTTCCATGTCTTGGCTATTGTAAATAGTGCTGCTATGAACATTGGGGTGCACGCATCTTTTTGAATTAAGGTTCCCTCTGGATATATGCCCAGGAGTGGGATTGCTGGATCATATGGTAAGTATTTTTAGTCTTTTGAGGAATCTCCACACTGTTTTCCATAGTGGCTGCACCAAACTACATTCCCACCAACAGTGTAGGAGGGTTCCCTTTTCTCCACACCCTCTCTGGTATTTTATCGTTTGTGAACTTCTGAATGATGGCAATTCTGACTGGTGTGAGGTGATACCCCATTGTTGTTTTGATTTGCATTTCTCTGATAATTAGCAATATTGAGCCTTTTTTCATGTGCCTATTGTTCATTTGTATGTCTTCATTGGAGAATTGCTTGTTTAGGTCTTCTGCCCATTTTTGGATTGGGTTGTTTGTGTTTTTTTGTTAAGTTGTATGAGCTGTTTATATATTCTGGAAATTAACTTTGTCAGTTGCATCATTTGCAGATATTTTCTCTCATTCCATAGATTGTCGGACTTCCACTTTTTGATCTGTCTAGATAGGAAGTTGCACAGAATGCTGGAACCATTTTGGCTTTGGTCACCAGTTTTAGTATCAGCTTATAGGATGGTGTCTGATGCATCTTAAATATCTACTGTTATTATTGAAGGTGTCAGTGGTCACCTGATAGGCAAGAACCCCGTAATTTGCTAATTAAACAATTATTTCAGAGAACTTACCTTCTTTTATTGTGACCTAGCCCCTTTCCTCTTCTTTCTATTACTTCAGCCATGGGCTATCACTAACTATGGGCTAGTGGTGTGAAACTTGGAGTAACCTTGAATTTCAACTAATTCTCTCTTTCCTTTGGCATTTGGGGTCCTGAGGAAGGGATTTACTGAAAGCCACAGAGTGAGCTGGAGGCAAAACTCTGTAGAAACTTACCTTATGTTGCAGCTCCTTATGAAGAACCGTCTGAGAGAGGATCAGATGATATAAACGAACATTCAAAGAGGAATTTGGGTCAAGTTCCAAAAGAAGGCAACCAAATTAAAAAAAAAAAGAGCAAGAGAATTTTTAAGGCATTCCTTTTGGGGGAGAGGATATTATTTTTAAGGTACAAATCAGGCACCTGGCTGAAAATACATTATTTTTATAGAACATCTGGTAGTTTATAAAACTCTTTGTCTTCATGGCACTGGAGATGCACTACAAAATCACTGGGCTTGTATTATTATCTCCTCCTCTCCCCTAGGAGATAATGATATCCATTTAACACTAAGAAAACTGTAATTGCAAGTAAGTGGGCTGTGACTAGAATTAAAGTCTCCGGAAGCCTCCTTTTGGTCCCGGTTTGCATAAAGGGCTTTGGAATCAGGCAGCCTTTCACCCAAATGCCAGCTCCACCACTTAATATCTCTGAGATGTTGGCCAAGTCACTTAAAGGTCCTGAAACTCAACTTTCCAGTTTAGTAAAGGGGATAGTGGTCATTCCTATCCGCTCTGATGAATGGAGGATTAAATGAAATAACGTATATAATAATGCATTTGGTACAGTGCTAGGCAGCACAGAGTAGGTGCTCAGAAACTGGCAATCGTTAAGATAGTCATTTTAATTAGCAGGCTGCTAGGTTCTGTACCAGTGCTTCTCAGATATCTTCTACAAATCTTCTGTCAGTACAGTCACTTTTGCTTAAAATAAAACTAATCTGTCCTAATGTAAAGATTAGGCATACCATGGGTTTTATAGAACAAATAGTGATTCTAATTCCAGTATCATGTGTAGTCTATCAAATGCAGACCTATTTCAAAGAGCTGTTTGTTTTAACCTCCTATTTATTCATACTGTTGTTTATACTTTCCTGCTAATATTTATGTCTTAAACACAGCTGTTTAAGGAGACCGCCATAAAGCAGTCACTTGGGAGACTAACCAGGCTGGATACTTATGACAATCTCTGGAGCCCCCCAGCGGCGAGGAGAATGAAGTAACCAGTAAACCAGTGAGGAAGTTTTGCCCAGATAGATATCTAGAGTTTTAAAACATTTTGTTTTTATAAGTAATGGCTTGCAGCAGAAACATTAATACCACACCAATACAACCATGCCATTCTTGGCTTGATGCTGTATACTGGGTTCCACCACGTTGAGAATAAAGTGATGCTCTTTTCTGCAGTAGACAAAGCCTTATACTGTCCATTCCCTGCCAATTGGTCCAACTGCATCCAGGACCAGTGTTCCTCTGCCCACTCCACTCCAGCCGCCATGGCTTTCTGAAGATCATGCCGAACTTGTCCCCACCCCAGGATATTTGAACGGCTCTTGTTTATGCATGGACATGGTTCTAGACTTCTCATCATTCAGCTATCAGCTCATTTTCCTCTAGTTCAGAAAGATCTTTCCTCAGTTCCTTAGCTGAAGATGTTTCCCTGCTACTTCCTCCATTCTCCACTATACACATTAATTTCTTCTATCTTATTATTTATCATGAGCTGTAATTAATTGGCTTATGTAGGTTCTTTGCTTTCCCCCACTGAATGCAGGCTCCATGGGGGAAGGAATAATCTCTGTCTTGTCCACCATTAATATATCCAGTGCTGAACCAGTGTTTGGTAAATAGAAGTGTTTCATCAAATAAGTAAATGATTGTATATTTCCATCATTCTTTTCTTTCTTAGTTCAGGAGGAAAATACAAAAAGACATATTATACTTCAAAGCAGTAACCATTCCCATGATGTAAGTGGACATTTAGTGGGCAAAATTCAAAACATACAAAGACAAATAAGATATGTTCGCTGGACATGAGGGTTTTATGGTTTGATGGAGGTGGGACTACAGCCTAAGATTGATAGATACCCAGTGGAAGCCCCCTGGGAGCACTGGCTGAATCAGTTTCCTCTGCCTAAAGATGCCGGAAGTTTCAGTAATGTGTATTCATTGTCTTGAAGGATGAATGAGGGGGTCACTAAACAGAGAGCAAGGCCTCCCAGATCTGGAGACTGGAGTCATACAAAAACACTATATTTGGGGAGAACTATAAAATATTTACTGTGACTGGAGACTAAGGAGTACAGAGGGAGTGAGAGAGGATGGAAGAAAGAGCTGAAGAACCAAATATACTATGGAAAAGAGCTTGAAGTATAGACATAATGGCAGTGGGAGGCCCTCAGATCCATTAAGCAGGAAATGGACCTCCTTAGAGTCAAGTTTCAGTGAGATTCCTCTGCCCTCTCCACAAAAGACAAAGCTTTATTTTCTGTTGGCCTGGTATGCAAATTATTCTCACTTACTAAGAAGACGCATTCTCTCTTACAGCAGTAAGAAAATTCTCCTTACTTACAAAATAAATTGTTAGAACCCAGCACAATGTCTCAGATTCCATAAGTTCTCAAGTATGTGTTGAAATTCAGTTTCATGTTCAGGTTTACCTGGTTTGTCCACTTCGATCAATTTAATCACTGTTTGAAACTGTGTATGAAAACCTGAAGTTTTCTTTTAGCTATTATCTTGACAAAAACACTCCATTTTGTTCTTACTTTCATTAAATGATTGACATTTGCAGTTTCTAAACTGCCATTACAAATACTGTAACTTCAAGTTCACGATTTTTTTTAACAACCCATTCCTGCAGGGT